TTTCGCACAAGGAAGGTCACTTACCCCGGTTTCCTTGATCACAGTCTGGATGCGTTTGATGCAGTAGCCCACGTGGGATGATTTTGCGGGATGCACGAACTTGCGAAGTGTATGCAGATGCGGAAAATTGTGGATGCGATGTACACTGTAACGCGTCGCGTGTAGCGTTCAGCGCGAGCTCTGACTCGCTTCTTCTTCGGACGGTTTTTTGTCCAAAAACGTTGAGGCAAAAAGAGACCTTCGCTTGTTTATAAGCCCGCGAATTTAATAAATGTAAAACTTAAAGAATATTAAGGATTGAAACCTTGGCATGATATAAAAAAAAAAGGAAAAATTATAACTTTACAATGCTACCTCCATTCTAATAAATTAAACAATTAGAAATTATATTAATAAATTTAAAGTTAAAAAAAAAGTAAATAAAAATTAACGCGAAGACGGAACATTACCGCCCACCAAAAATCGCATGGATTTTTCGGGAAAATTACGTTTCTATTGGAAGAGGACAAATCTTCACAACGGGACGCTTGACAAATCCTGCTTTGGTCTTAATAGTAACGACTCGAATAATTCCATCATTTCCAGGATGTACTTCGGTTATACGACCAAGTCGCCAATGCAGGGGAGACATTACTTCATTTTTTATAACTACTAAAGTGCCTATGTTAATCGGTACAGAAGGGTTAAACCACTTGGATCGCTGATGTAAGGTATGAAGATATTCATTAGACCATCGGGACCAGAGGTCTTGAAACATCCTTTGAATAAGCTGAAATCGTTTAAGACGATTAAGAGGAAGATCTCTTAAATTTGGTTCAGGTAGAGCAACCAATGGCTCAAAGGTTAAGAAATGACTAGGCGATAGAGCTGACAGATCATTAGGGTCATGACTGACAGGAGTTAGAGGACGGGAATTAAGCATGGATTCAATCTGCACCAATAACGTCATTAATTCTTCATATGTTAACAAATGGTCGCCGACTACGCGCATGAGATGCGTTTTGACAGACTTCACTCCCGCTTCGAACAAACCTCCAAAGTGAGGACTGGAAGGAGGATTGAAATGCCAAGAAATGGTTTCTTCATTTGCAGCGGTATGCATTAAATGTTGAAGTTGGTTACGACCACCAACAAAGTTGGTTCCACAGTCGGAATATAAATGTTGACATCGACCGCGTCTAGCAAGAAATCGACGAAGAGCTGCTAAAAAAATCTCAGTAGATAAGTCAGACGCGAGCTCGAGATGTAACGCCTTGGTGACATGACATACGAAAATACATAGATATGCTTTCAATTTTTTGGCTCCACGACCTTTTGACATGGTTATGGTAAAAGGGCCTGCAAAATCTACACCGGTGTGTAAGAAAGGCTTCGCCTGAATTAACCTGGAGGGAGGTAAATTTCTCATAGGAGGCTGAACTGGAACTGGATTAGCTCGAAAACATCGAATACATTTAGACAATACTCGCCGAATGGCACGTTTAGGGGCTAAAATCCAAAACTGATGTAATAATAAAAAATGAACGGTTTGATTTCCGGCATGATAATATTTATTATGGATATGCGAGATTAGAAGATCAGTAAACCGGTGATGTGAAGGTAAGATAGCTGGGTGATTTTCCTCAAAAGAGAGTGGGGAATTTTTGAGACGACCACCAACGCGTAGGATATTATTGTTATCGATAAAGGGCGACAATTTTTGAAATGGTTTTGGAAGACGTTTATTACTTCTCATAGCTGACAATTCATCTGAGAACTGAGTGGATTGAACGTGACGAACAATATCCAGAACGGCAGAATGAAGTTCAGAAGATTTCAAAGTCAGTCCGGTTTCTCTTTCTTGACGTTTTAGATTATAGAAAAAACGGCGTACGAAAGCTACACATCGTATTACTTTATTGAAGGACGAAAATTTATCAATAAGGGTATCGATAAAATGAGGGTCGGTGGTTGTCATTAAAACGACCTTGCGTTCTTCTTCCAAAGCTAGGGGAGAAGGTTCTATAACCGAATCAGGGAAGCTTGTAGTAGATCGGAGGAAAGCTGGTCCCGCCCACCAAAGCGAACTTTGCAATAGTTCAGAGGGTAGTAATCCACGAGTACCAATATCAGCTGGATTATCTAAGGAAGGTAAATATAACCAGTGACAGGATGGAAGCGTTTCTTGAATAAAAGACACTCGATTACTCACAAAGGTTTTCCAACGATGTGGAGGAGAGTTAATCCACGACAAGACCACCTGCGAATCTGACCATGCACATATGCGACTAAATGTTAAAAGATCTTGATAGATATGACAAATATAATTGATCACACGAGTTAACAAAACCGCAGCAGAGAGCTCCAAGCGTGGTATGGACAATCGTTTTAAAGGGGCTACTTTGCACTTAGCGCAAACAAAGGAGGTAGTGATCTCTCCAGAAGGAAGAATAAATGCAAAGTAAACGACCGCGCAATATCCCTTTTCCGAACTATCTCCAAAACCATGTAATTGACACGACAAAAAGGTATCAGGCATGATACGACGAGGTATTCGCAAGTCTTGAAAACAGGGGAGATCATTTATAAAGGATTCCCATAGTCGAATGATTTCATTTGGAGGAGTGTCATCCCAATCCAGTTTGAGAATCCAGAATTGTTGTATTAAATGCTTGAGGATAAAGGTAACTGGACTTAACATCCCTAAAGGGTCAAAGATGCGGGCAAGATGTGATAATATTTGCCTTTTAGTACAAAGACGATTAAATGGCTGTGTATGAAAGTGAAAGCAATCGTACGAAGGTGTCCATTGTAATCCCAAAATTTTCAGAGAGGTTTCCTGATCGGTTTCAAATGATCGCGATTGATTGGCAAGGTGTGATTCAGGCAAATCATCCAGTAAAGCTGGCTCATTACTAGCCCATTTACGCAGTTCGAAACAACCTTGTTTTAATAGGCATATCAATTGTGATTTTAATTCACGAGCAGCTTCTAAAGATGGTGCACCAGTAACTATATCGTCAACATTGTAGTAAGCCGTTTCGAACCAAATTTCCGCGCGCCGAACTTTTGGTAAGAAAAGGTGTAGGAATGGAAAGAAACGAAAATCACTAAGAGGGAGATGCGCAGAAGGGTGTGTTTGAGCAGGGTGAGTCGCGGCCAGTTCGACTTGGTCTTTCTTTCGAGTAAGACGTCAGGTTGGTGCTCTCGGTGTTTTTTTTCAAATGTCTGTGCGCTGTTTGTTTCCTGTTATAGTGGCGATTCGTTCTAACGGAGTTCCACCCCCCTGACGAACCAGCGAACGTAAGAATTCTCCGCTCCGTCCGAACACAGAGAGGTTATTTCGGTGGTGAGCACGTATTTGGTTTGAAGGTCCAAGAGGTATGTTTTCCACGTGATTCCATGTGTGCTGGTGGAAGAAGCGGCGTTGCTTCTCGATGGTTACGGAGTATGTGAGACGCGGGAACCACACACATATGTGACGCGACAAAAATGGCGGCACTTCCGGATGACGCCATGGCCGTTAATTTTCGCACTAACCTTTTCAACAAAATTTCAATCCGTTTTAGTAGGGCTTTTCAGGGAATTACGTTAGCTAGGGCAGTTTTATTTAGCGAATGTTTTGCGGAAAGTTGGATGGCAATTTTCGAGTTATTATTTTGCGTTACACAATTTGAGCACGTGTGAGTAAAGTAAATTCAAACGTAATCTGAACAAGCGAATCTTTAACAAAATAACGCTGAGAACGGCATCAGAAGAATTAATAATATTATAGTCTGGGGGACGGGGGATTTTCTTTGTGTTAGTAACATCAATTAAATTAGGCACATCAATTTGGCTGACATTATAAGATCTAAGATATTTGAATGGCTTTTCCTCGATTTATTATTCGTTTGTTGTAAACCCTAATGCTGGAAAATTTCATGTAGTTTCCAAATATTCAGCCGTTCAAAATAGAAAGAGAAAGTGGTAGGGTGCAAGTACGGAGTGTTGACCGGGGAATTTCAAGGGCAACCTTTGTGAATTTTTGTATTAGTCATTGGGGATTTGTTATTGACCGAAAACTGTTGATGAATTTGAAAATGAATGTTATTGAAAGAAAGGCACAATTCAAAGCGAATGTGCACTCTCGATTACCTATATTTTATTTATTTTGCATATTTTATGTGTCGTATTTTTATGTGTTGTTTGGTTTTTTTTATGTGTTTTTATTTATGTGTATTTTGTTTGGGGATGTGTTGGGGGGGGGGGTTGTTTGTTTAATTCGGTCAACAACGTAACTTTGCCCAGATCATTTTAATGCAGTCATAACTTCTTTGTTTAATGTCAGATAACAGATAAATATTCCAATAAAATCCATAGCTTCTTTATTTCTTTGGTAAGAATCAGCGACGTAAATGTAGCTTAATTTAATAAAATCATTGCCAAAATGTGAATAATTTAATCTCTTTCAAAATTCTTGTTCTTTAAAGTTATTGACAAAACATGAATAATTTCTCATTTCATTTTCCTGGTTGTATAAGTTTGTTAATCACACGTGCATAATTTAATCTCATTTTTAAATTTCTTTGTTATTTAAAACAAGTGTTGATGGAGTGTTGCCAATTAAATTTTGCTTCTTGCTTGTCTGAAATCCAAATACTCATTTTGATAACGCTAGTTAACTCGGGGGTCGTGTGGCGTGGACGCGGTGGCGTCGGCGTCTCCGTGCGAGTGTCTGCGGGTCTTGCTAGACTTCCGGCCCTAGCGGATTCGGAGTTTACACAGCTACCTTATTTGCGGGAAACAGGAGGGTCAACCTATGTCATGCGGGTGCGTAAGACCACGCGCGTGAAGTGGTGAGGTAGGACTATGTGGACCTTCACGGGGAGTGTGGCCGTCGCCCTGCACCCGTTGGGCGCCCCCATTTTGTTTGTAGAGGCCACACTGCCATAATATCTGGAACGTTGCCATCCATTTACTTTCTGAGAATTCCGCGACTTTTATTTTGTTTCTTGTTGTACTTGTAAAGTTGTTAATCTTTATTCTATGTTCTCAGGTTCGAGTGAAAATAAAGGTTTTTTTTTCTCTGAGGAATAAATTCCTTAGGCTCTTCTGGGACCCTTGGCCAAGGTCTCTTGAGCTCTTATTGGATTTATTTTTCATAGTTTTTTTTTTCCAAAATATAAGTTTTTTAAATCCGTCACTCTTCCCGCTCCGCAGTGCGCCAATTTGTATGAACGAACGCCTCCCGCCAGTTTTCAAAACACAATGTAGGGTCCTACTTTTGTAGACGATCACAGCCAAGGCCAAATTTCAAATTTTAGCGGGCTTTTTCAAATTTTGTCCAATGTCAAAATAAAAGGCGGGGGGTTTGGGTTATTACAACATATGTGTTTTCTTGAAGAATAGTTGCAGCTGAGAGAAATAAAGCACCTGCGTCGTTGGCTAACTGAAGTAAAGTACGAATGGCCAAATATGGAGCGGAAGAGAGTCCGTATGTAACAGTTCGTAATCGAAAATCGGCCAGAGGTTCGTTGGGTGAAAATCGCCATATAATACGTTGGTAATCGCGATGTTCGAGGGTGATTAGAATCTGGCGATACATCATTTTGATGTCAGCAACAAAAACAACTTTGTGTAAGCGAAAAGTTAAAAGAATAGAAATTAAATCGCGTTGTAATTTAGGACCGACATAAAGATGATCATTCAGCGATGATTGATGAGGAAGTGATGCTGAGCCATTAAAGACGACACGTAACTTGGTGGTGAGACTGTCAGGCTTAAGTACACTGTGATGCGGAATATAAAAAAATGCGGAAGAATCCCCGGATGGCACGTCAGCAGGCTCCATGTGATTCAAAGCGAGATATTCTTGCATAAAGGCAGAATACTGTTGATATAATTCAGGATTGCGTTGAGGACGTTTTTCTAACCATAAAAAGCGTTGAACGGCGAGTTCTCTAGAGGTCGGAAAGATCGGCCTAGGGCTTTTGAAGGGTAAAGATACAACATAACGACCGTCTTCGTTACGATAATGGGACTCAGAGTATAATTTTTCACAGAGTGCGTCATCAGGTGAAACGATTGTGGCAGGAGGAACTGTTTCGAGTTCCCAAAATTTACACACAGTTTCTTCTAAAGAAGGGGTCCCGTCCGAAGTCATGACAAAGGTGCGAATAGGAGACTCACGAAGGGTAGTAACTGGGCCCATAAATACATAACCAAAGATAGTTTGAATTGCGTCTGGTTCACCAAGATGACCAGAAATTTTATTTCCCAGGAAAAGACTGGAAAAACATCAGCTCCGAGTAACATGTCGATATGACCAGGACTGGCAAATTCTGGATCTGCGAGAGGTAAATTTGATTTTATGTGTGACCAGTGTTGAGAAGAAATATGAGTTGATGGCAGAGGATCACAAATTTTTGGTAAAATGTAAGCGTCGACTTGTATTTCGGGAAATGTTTTATCAGTGGGTCGTATGGAAACGGTAGTTGCACCGTGCGGGGTTCGAGTAGAAGTTGATCCTAATCCATGAACCAGTATGCTAGTTCGTTTCTTAGGGAGTCCTAACTTGTGAAAAGCTTTGCTAGTAATGAAAGAGCTTTGCGATGCGGAGTCTAATAGAACTCGAAAGATTTGAGGAAATCCTCTTGAAGAAAGTACTGCGATTCTTGCAGTAGAAAGCAGGACTGTGTTGGATACACACGACGATTTATGTAAGCGAGAAATATTGTTAGGATTTTGAGAAATCAACGTAGTGGTGGTAGGTTGCGTTTCTGAAGATGAGGGTGAATTGTTAGAGCTGTCAAAATGCAGAAGTGTATGATGTTTTTGACTGCACTTGTGGCAGTTTTGACTTGAGTTACAATTGATAGTGGAATGAAATTTGCTTAAGCAATTTAAGCAAAGGCGTTTTGATTTTGCTATATTATAACGTTCATTGGGAGACTTAGAAATGAATTCAGAGCATTTGTAAATTAAATGTCCATTATTACAAATGCTACATTGAATGGGAGTTGAGTTTTGAAGGAAGGAAGTGGTGGGATTAGTTGACTTGAATTTATTTTTATTATAAGACTCAACTTTTTTTGAGCGAGGTTTGGGAATTGTATTGGCATTTTCTAAGGCACTCCATTGTTGTTCTAAAAACTTTACAAGTTGTGCGTAGGTAGGAATATCCGAAGAATTATGATGAAGTTCAAAACGTGTCACTAATGTTGATTCTATTTTTTTAATCATCAAAGAAAATAAAAGAAAATCGGATAAATCTACAGGTAATGTAAAATTTTTAATAGCTTGAACATTTTTGGCAAAGTTATCAATAAGATCGCGGATATCTTGAGGACTATCAGCATTAACTCTTTTGGCTTTATCCAGATATTGCCAATGTGCATTGAGAATTAGTCGATTGTTTTGATACCTTTGTATTAAGGCATTATATGCTACTGTATAATTGTCCGATGTAACAGGAATATGCTGAATAAATGCTAAAGCTTCACCTTTGAGAGATGCTAATAAATAATTAAATTTTTCAATGTTAGTTAGCTCTGCGGATCTATGAATAAGTGATTGATACATTTCGATATAGGGTGTAAAAGTGATGATGTCTCCTGAAAAGGTAGGTAATTCGATTTTTGGAAGTTTGATTTTAGCACTTGTACTAGCCTCAGTTGAAGCTGTCGATGATGAGACAAAAATCTTGTGATAAACGGACTTGACATGATAAAAAGTTGTTTCAAAATTTTTTCTTACTTCGTCTTCCACTTTGAATGCATCATCGACGTCCTCAATTAAGCCAATAATGGCATTATGTAATTTAAAAAATTCATTTTGAATATCATTAATGCTTTCCATGCGCATTTGAAACTCAAGGCGCCATGGTACATGATCTATTGATGCTAATGCAAGAGTGTTGAGTTCATTGAGACGATTAATCGCGGTTTGGCGATGTAACTTGTTCCTTTTCACTTTTTCAGCATGAGCCATTATCCCGAGATTTTAAACGAAATCGTAAACACGGTAATTAATCAAGAAGTGGAAACAAAAGAATTAGTCTTTTTATACCTCAATGTGATAGTGCGAATATGCGATAAAAACTGCTAATTATCAAGTGCAAATTAAAGTGCAACGATGTGCTAGCGTCCGTTGAGAAGATTTGAAAATAGCAGTATGGATAAAGTTAACCTGCTCGCTTACTTTGAATACTGACAATATTGTAAAGAAAGAGCAGTGTTTTTGCGTGAGTTTATCAAGTGTGAGTGAAAATGCGAAAATGGTTCTTAATTATGAGGGTGAGTAAGGTCTAACTGACCGTCAAGATACCAATAGCTGATTCACGAACAAAGCGTATTAATTAGATTAATCGCCACGTGGTTAATGATTTGAGGTAACAGTTATTAATAATGATTCCAGATAAGTATCAAATGTTACAGGAATAATATCGACCTTTACAAGGCTTCAATCCTACTCGAAGGACCAATGTATAAAATGCGGCTCTAAATTTGGTTAGAGAATGAAGGATTATATTTCGCACAAGGAAGGTCACTTACCCCGGTTTCCTTGATCACAGTCTGGATGCGTTTGATGCAGTAGCCCACGTGGGATGATTTTGCGGGATGCACGAACTTGCCAAGTGTATGCAGATGCGGAAAATTGTGGATGCGATGTACACTGTAACGCGTCGCGTGTAGCGTTCAGCGCGAGCTCTGACTCGCTTCTTCTTCGGACGGTTTTTTGTCCAAAAACGTTGAGGCAAAAAGAGACCGTCGCTTGTTTATAAGCCCGCGAATTTAATAAATGTAAAACTTAAAGAATATTAAGGATTGAAACCTTGGAATGATATAAAAAAAAAAGGAAAAATTATAACTTTACAATGCTACCTCCATTCTAATAAATTAAACAATTAGAAATTATATTAATAAATTTAAAGTTAAAAAAAAAGTAAATAAAAATTAACGCGAAGACGGAACAACTTGTCTTTAATACTGGAAATGATTGAGCAAGGTAAATTTGAACTCTTATTTGTTTACTAAACTTTCTAAATCATATTACGCTGTTACAGATTTGAATCAGAACAAAACCAATGACAGTCAGGGATGTTCGCGGCGTAATACAGCGCGAATTACATGTTTAATTACCTGGTCGTTATCCAAATCCTAGATACGAGTATAGTGTGAGACATTACAATCTGAAGGATCCTCTGTCCTATCAGCCTGATTAAGGTAATATGCCCAAGGCTAAGACATGAAGGTAGTGTGAGTATGCTGCAAGAGAGAGTTCGACTAAGTAGGTAAGTGGAATTATATAGGTGCAATAAAGAGATTGAGCTGTAAAATTGTTTTATTTCCTTGCCAATAACCCAAATCTAAAAGATGTAATTTGCACCGCCATTAGGGCGACTTCAAGCTATTTTAACAAGGTAAGCATATAACGAGAATGAGAGTAACGTACATAGTAGTAGAATAGGCATGAACATAGGTTAAATATAGATATAGTTTAGATGTAGTATGGACAATATGGATATTAGGTAGTGATCGGAGTGTGGTTACGATATTTGGATAATAATATCGCGTGAAGTTATGGTATGATAGAATTATTTAATTAAGAGGTACTATTTATTATGTTAATATAATATGGATAGTAAAAAGAAAGAAAATACAGAATTATGTAATATAAATATTAATATGGATGTTATTATAGATATATAGATGACTATAGATGTTGTGGATATTTAGATATTAATATGGATTATTATGGAACTGTCAATACAGATAATGAGGATATATAGATATAAGGATATTGATGTAGATATTATTGTGGATAGTAAAAATAAGGAATATAGATAATAGTTTAGAGAATATAGTTGCATCCGATAATATGGAATATGTATATAAGGTATTATAATGATAAGATGTATAGTAATATGGATTATATAGATGCAAGAATTAATATAGATGGTAATAAGACAATCTTTACGCATTATCAATATTCCTAGATTTCCTCCTATCAAAAGCCATGGTACTGAAGATCTTGAACTTACCGTATAACACACCACTATTGAGAAAGTTGGAGGGATTCCTCAGGGAGACCTCCAGTGGGTTCCAGTTCCTGAGATCATCATACAGAGAACAATCAAACAATATGTGTCGCCAATCTTCGCAGGGGTTACCACAATCGCATCCGGACGTATCACATAAGTTTTTATCATATAGGTACGCATTCATTGATCCGTGTCCAGATAAAATAAAAAGCTCTTCCAGACACGGTGCATAATAGTCTTTTTCCTTAATTTGCCTGGGATCTGGAATGAATAAATATGTTGTCCTACCCTTCTCCGAATGTGTCCAATTGTTAAACCAGATCAGATTTAATTTGTCTCGAATGCAGTCCCGTTTTTGATATAGTGAGGCCCCCTGTAACTCGTCTTCCGTTATATATCTGTTGGCAGGGAAAGGTTTATTTTTCTTGATTGTGTAGTATAGTCCTCTCTCTACTGCCTGCAGGTGCCATGGGAGTTCCCCCAATAGCACCTGCATAGCTTCTGTAGATACAGTCCGACATACCGGCAAGACAGCATATGTGACAGTCCTCTGACATTGATCGATAGCTTTCTTTATGTATCCTTTGTCAATCTCCGGGTACCATACCTCTACCCCATAAAGAATAATCGCTGAAAAGAGCCCACACCACCAACTACGGATTGTAGCTAGCGAGGGACCCCATGTTTTTCTGAGAATTCTTTTGAATTGCCCGGTTATCTTAACTAGCCTCAGTCTGACCTCTTGAAAATGCGGTAGGAAACCCAACCTCTCTGATATTGTAATACCAAGGTACTTCGTGCGCTTTTTATACGGAAGATTTTTATTCCCGTTGCGAATCCACGGAGGTCTAGTGTCCGCAAGTATGCCTTTCAGCAGCATGCACACACTCTTCTCTTCTGATACCGACAACCCAACACTCTCGGCCCATGCTCTGACAACACCCATTGACTCGTTACCCTTACTCTCAAGCCCGATTCTGCTGTTGGATTCCACCATAATCAGCAGGTCGTCGGCGTACGCGACACAAACCACGTCTTGGCTATCTAGTTGGCGTAACAGGGTATCCATTACCAGATTCCAAATGTATGGCCCACAGATGGACCCTTGCGGACATCCTCTGCTGACTCCCCGTGTTATCAGTTGCGTGTTGCCTTCTAGCGTAACTTTCCTATGCCTAAAATAGGAGTTCCATAGCCCTACATCTCTGGAGCCAGTGTCAACAAGTCTTCTGAGTATGGAATTCCAGCTGATATTATCAAAAGCGCCTGAAAAATCTATGAAGAGGCCTAACACGTACTTATAGGGACTTCTGCGAACATGGTCAACAACGGTCATCCAGGCATCTATGGTCGATTTACCTTCTCTGAAACCGAACTGCGTTGGGGAAATAACCGCGTCATTGCTAATACAGTCTTCCTGCAATCGGTCAACCATCAATCTTTCCAGCACCTTACTCCAAGCGGAGAGTAGACAAATCGGCCTGTACGATTTTGCCAGATCTTTGGGCTTGTCCGAGGCTTTCAGGAGAGTTATCACCTTTGCCGATTTCCAGTGATCCGGGAATTCACCGTCATGTATACAGCGCTGAAGCAGCGCAATCAAAAACTCTGGAACTGCCCTATGGAACTCCTTCACGATAGAACCAGTGATCCCATCTAACCCCGGTGCTTTTCGACTACGTATCTTTCTGACGGCTGCTGCCACCTTCTCAGACGACAGCTCTTCGATCAATGTGTTCGCGTTATCGGGATAACTTACGTCCAGCGGTCTGTATTCACCGAAGAAAGCGTTCAGTAGTGCCTCTGCCGATTCCTTCCAGGTTCCAGAGATTATGTCCCCTGATTTAATAGCAGCAATTTCCGTTGTACCCCGTCGGCCTCTACAAGTTTTATACACGCCTCCCCAGGGGTCTTTACCGTGCCTTATGGTGGTCTGCACAAAATCCTTCCAATGACTGAACTTGGCTTCTCTCAGCGCATTTTTATACCTACGGCTAGCCGCCCTCCATCTCCTCCTAATTAGTTCAGTCTCATCTTCGTCTTCTCTCAAAATACCAGATCTGCTAGCCCTATTCCTGTGTGTTTGGTACTCGCGTCGGAGACTACGGACCTCTCTTCTTTGCATGGTCAATTGAGGTGTCCACCATCGTACGCGTGTTTTCAGGGACCTTTTTGGCACAGCCACTTGGCATGCTTCGTGCACCCAGGTATCCAGTGTGCGGCACATTTCTATGAGAGGCATGCTTCTAAATTCGTCCAGACCGAGAGAGACAGCACTACCCAGGATACTACCCCGAAACGCGATCTTCTCATCCTCGCTCCTAAGACAGTAGATTGTAGGGACCATAGTTTCCTGTCGCAAATTTTCATCAGGGTCTCTTGTTCTCAGCCGTATAAGCATGGGATTATGGTCACTAACACCGAGGTCAGGTCTCACACTCCACTCCCATGAAAAGGATTGTTCCAAGGACAGATTCGCCAGAGTGACATCAATGTCACTCGAGCCAGACGGCCCGGCAAAGGTGAAGAACTCACTCTCCTCGTTCAAAACTGATAGCCCACTTTCCACAATGTAGTCAGCCAGAATGTCGCCTCTAATGTCTCTCTCCCTTGACGCTTGCAGATTTTTGCTATGCCACACCAGAGATGTAGCATTAGCATCCAGACCGATAAGCAGCGGTGTTCTGTCAGCGCCCAACACAGCTCTTCTCAGATGCATGATGTCCGTCGCCATGTCCCCTCCATACTGGCAATAGATACTGGCTAGATGTAGGTTACAACCATTTACTGACACATTGACAACACACTGACATTGATTTGACACTTCACTTTTCAGAACTACGTCACAAACACCCTTTCTAATCGCGATAGCCGCTTTCGGCCAGTCACCCGCGCTATAAGTACTAAGTCCGCTACCTAGTCCACAAACCATACCATGAGCCACGTATGGCTCCTGCAGTAAGTAAATATCTATTTTGTCCTCACTAAACCTACCCTCAATGTCAGCCATCACACTTAGCGACCTTTGACAGTTGTACTGCATCAACCTTAGTTGCATCCCTCGTCCGAGTATTTAATTTTTCTTCTTTCTATTTCCAGCCGCCTTTTATATAAGGGGCACTCAATATCCGTCGCGGCATGGGGTTCGTTATTCAGGTTGCTGAAGCGAGCACAGTTCGGGCAGGTCTTCGTGGTGCTGTTACATTCGTTCAGAGGGTGAGGTCCGGAGCATCTCGGGCATGTAGTCTTATTCTGTGGGGCGCAGTATTTTTGCACATGGCCAAATTGCGCACAGCGGTGACACACCGCCACCCTGAGCCTCTCTTCAACAAATAAGGCCAGAAGATCTAGGATTATTTTCCCTCCATTCTGCTCTATAGTCTTCAGGATGACCGGCCGGACTTGCATTAGGACATTTTCTTTTTTGTTATTTCTACACCTCAATCATAGTGTTTTTCTTCGAAAGTGAGCTTTGAGTTTAAAATACACAGTTATATATATACATATAAACGTTTTAAAAAAAAAAATGTTAGCGCAGGTAGTGGGGTGTTAGTGCACTAGGTAGGGACTCGGCTGCGGGTAGTGGCTCTCCTCGGGCGCGGCGAGACGGGCGACGGCGCGGCGGGACGGGCGGCGGCGCGGGAGGACGGCGCGGACTAGCAAGTGATTGGGTAAAATAAATAAATAAATTTTATTAGATATATGTTTATTAACTGCTATAATCTATCACAATATTTATATATACTGTCTCGTTCAAAGCTTCTTTAAAACCAACTTCTATGCGTAGATTAACGCTCTTGACTAGATTCCAGTGAGAGGTAGAACTTGCCAATAAATCAGGTGTTAAGTCGAAAGCTATCAGCGTAGAACCACCGTCATAACGCTGCCGACTTATTCCATTACCTTCATTTAAAAAATGTATACCAGTACCAGAAAACAAAGTGTGATACATATTAACAAAAAGTTTGTTGTCGGCCCCAAAATCAGGCTGGAGTGGTTTAGATGGTAGTTGATTACCGTCGACGTAGAGAGCAAAAAAGTTCATGTTGAAATGTTGAAAGTTGAAGGGGTTAAACTTGTAATGTCCATTAAAAGCCTTATTGGTGACAAATCCTATTATGACTCGTTTTGGTAATTGTCCTAAATACACATTATCAAATGATTTTTACTGAATGCCGGCTGGTAATGTTAAAACTTTTATTTCCGTTCTGGTAATTGGATACTTTGCTGTTGTTTTTTCCAAAACATTCGTTAACGATAACATTACCGATGGATTTATTTTCACCTTCCTTATAATTAAAGTTGCGTCAATAATTTTTAATTTTCCACTGCTATTTGACATTAAAACAAAATTATCACGCGATCGTACTATTTTCACTCTTAAATCTACGCCATTGTGCAAAAATTTTTGCTGATTAAAAATATCTCCGCGTAAGTGTCCGATAAGATCAATATGTTTACTACCGGCGGCAAATTCTTTTCTTATTTTGTATCCGTTATTTGCAGCACCCAAAATATCCATTTTTGAAGATGTGTCCCCATACCAGAGGGCACTACTTAGATGCGAATCCTTTGCATCCGGCCCGTAATTGAGTAAAGGTTCTGTAGGGGTAAGTATTGTTTGGTGGTGAAATTAATTTTTCGTTGAAATAGACATCGACTTGACTAAACATCGAATGCAGCAAATTATTAACAGGTGCTAATTCGTCTGTAGCTGCCAAATCGGTTCCGTCGTCTTTTGTAACCTTTACGACTTCATGAAGCATTGTATGAGCCAAATCCATAAATTCATCACTGCGACCGTGTGACTTTACAGTCTTAAGTGTTATTTGTTTGTTTGCAGGGCGTGGGTTTGTGTAGGCAATGAGTGAAATAATTTCCAAAAACTATATTAACATAATAATATGCATATGCAACACACAATACATAAAGGGCGCCAGTCGTTTTTTTTATTTTGAAAAACGACAAAAACAAACATTGAATAGGTGTTTTGAGCTTTTCTTTTCTTTACATAATACAGTGAAATTATTTGTGGCTCAGCACACTAGTCTTTATAACACTATAATCTTAAACAAGTTAAAATTAATATCTAGACAAAAAGAGCTTACAATTACAATTACTCGACCACCAGAAGCTATACTGATAAGATTTATTATACTGATCTTTGACTGATATACTTTTATTGCTATAACATTGAAATTCAAAGAAATATCTATTATGGAGCTTGGAACCTTTTTTTTTTCTTTCTCGCGGAAAATGAGCATTCGCGTGCTTGAGCGTAATGACAAGTACCACCTGGAGCTGCCGCAAGACAACAAAAATTCTCCCCAAATGGGTGAGATTGGCCGCTAGACCCCCAACGAACCACTCATAATATCACTAGACATATGGTAAGCCCCTTTACAATACGTTAATAACAATATCTAAATTATTAACTCTCTCTGACCTAACCTGTTTTTAACTTAAAAATACCTATGTTTACAAGGAATTTTCCTTATGATATTGTGCGGGATACAAGCAACCTAGAAGGTGTTCACCATGGGGTTGTAGCCTCCAGTTCTAAGATATTGAGTAATTGGAACCCTGCTACTTGCGCTGGTGGTCGGCTACTTCCACAGATAAGGTGCTACCTCCGTGGTGATGGTTACCTGGGTGTCATCAATCGGTTCCATTCAGATAAGTCTCCAGTAACTACTGTTTCAATGACAGGTCTCTGGTTGTAGGTAGTACTGAATCGTTACTCCCAGCACAACTTTCCACGGAGTTGAAGATGATACCAATTACAGGCTCAATCCAAGTAGCGAATGACTCCAGTGATAAAATTGATGAATATTTCATGTCCCAAACTCGATAGTTAAAACCTAGGAAGTGGTGTTTTATTGACATGTTTATTTTAAGAGATCTCATGTGACTTTTATTTAAATATGAAATTTTGACTCACCTAGGTCTCATAGGTTTATTAAAATCTTCTTTAATTGTTTAAAATGGTTTGAAATCCTGATTTTTATTTTACGTTTCTGACAACCACCATTTTGTCCAAAATCTTATCAGCAAAAAACCCTTTTTTGTTCGCCTGACGTTGTATCGCTATAAAAACTCCCATGCAGAGGCGCACAATTTGAAACGCTCAAATCACCTACTCGTCCTTACTAAAGGAAGTTTAAATTATAGTAACGGGACCGTTACAACCGGTAATCGAAAATTCCAAAGGGCCATCATCTGTCAACGATGATACATTTTTAAAAGGTATCCAACGTCCAGATTCGATAGTTCTTTGAGTTGATGGTACGGCGAAGAAATCTAGCTCAGACTTGGCGCATTCGCACGAATGAGAATGAAGGAACGCCATTGTTAATGAAAGATGTTACGAGCTACAGAGAAGCCCTTCTTATTCTTCTTCGCGGTATTGCTCTTGCGAACACTTGACACTTTATGATGTTTATTGGAAACTCTTTTCTTTTTTATAGCTCCCGAACCAGTCAACTGGCTAATTTTTTCGTCTGCTTTACGTTTCAGACTTTGTGCAGATTCAGTGAAACGCGTTTTTACACTTTCAGCCAAAGGTCTCTGATTAGCTATGTCGCCTAAAATGTAAGAACCTGTCTTAAGAGCTTCTTTTCCCAATGTCTTTACTCCAGATTTAAAGAGAGGTGTTACACTTCATAAAAGTCCTCTGAGAAAACTGCCGATTCCGTGTCCGCGTTGAGAGCCAAAAAGTATTCTCCTTTGTATATGGTACCAACTCCTGACTAGGCCTGATTTGCGTAATATTGATGATATGGACACATATGCATTATTTTTCTTGCTCAGTTCTTTTTAAAATGCAGTTTCACGCACAACGTTCCAAACTGAAATGGTATTATATCACCTGTACTCGACCTTATATCAATTTGAATATTTTCAAATTCTCGCTTCAGAACTGGTACGTAGTGAGGCTGTCCTAACACGCGCGTCATTTGAGCTCCATATGTGTAATTATTGCTGTCAACCACCACAACTCTTAGTACTTTGGCGAAAACATCACCGATGGCTTGAGGCTCTATTATATCTGTGTACACGAAAAGTTGTGACGGAATACCAACTAAAATATTCCACGGAAATGTTCCGGTTCTATTTAATACGTTTGTCATTGGCTCATACCCCAAAATGAGGCTTAGCTTTGCGCTTAAGTGCAAGCTTTCTAATTCCTTTGTAGGACATCCAACACTTACTTTTTGAGTCATTTTATTAAAATTGAATAATACCTTATCACGCACAAGCGACTTGTTTGAATTCAATATTGTCAGAATGTCTTCAACGCTACCGTAATTTCCAGGTAAAATTTTATCCTTGTATAATATTTCCACCTTTTCTGAAATTTTACTTTTGTTTGCAATTATTTCTTGCAGCGACTTGTATTTTCCGCTTTTTATTATGTTTTCTATCCAGTGTTTTAACCGATCGTCACGAAAGGCTCTCTCAGGCATAGATTTGATATTTAAATTATATTTGAAATAAATACCAACGTCATCGTTTGAGATGTTAATTATCGAACATGGATATTGAATTTCTGTTAATGCAACACTCCACTCCTCGTCTAAATGAATAGATTTTGGTAGTTGCGTACAAAAGCTTGTTGTCTTGTTTTCGGGAAAATATTTTATTGAACTGTTACTCAATAGAGTCAAGTAAAAATCGCGCGTCATAATTGTGTTAAACTGCTAGCCGGTATCCAAGTGTTAAACTTAGGAGGATAATTTTTCCACTGAACTAAAATTTCACAATTTCCTCTTTTATACCTTTTCTTTAATACCCTCTCAATAGGAAAAGTGGCGTCTGGCGAATAATTTACTCGCTGTAGTTCTTGATGATAAAATGTGCCCACAATAGGTTCGTCCAGCAAATCTGAAATTTTGTAGACTATCGGAATCCTCTTAATCACATTCGTGATTTTAAATATTTCTTCGCTCCAATTGTTTTCATATCCTTTTTCAAAGACATGTTTGTATTTTGATATTCTTACATAATTTCCAACTTTGTAGGTTTGTTTCGGTGGTTTGATGTTTCTTTTATCGTGATAAGCATTGTAATATACTGTCAATATCTTGTCATCGTTAACATCTTTAGGAGCCATTTTTATTGTTCGATGAACGGTTTCATTGTACCCATCGACGAAATTTTGAAGCATGTCAGCATAACGATATGTATTTTTGTGTGTGAAATATTTAAACATTTTTGTTTTTAGAGTACGATTAAAGCGTTCAATTACAGCGGCCTTAACATCAGGGTTATTAGTTGTATAATAATTTACACCGTGACGTTTAAATAACTTTTGCACTTTTGCTGCGATAAACTCTTTACCATGGTCGGTTTGCAAGTTATTTGGTATACGTTCACTGCAAGAAAAAATATCTTCAAACGCCTTTACGACCTCAGATTCAGTTTTTGTCTTCAGTTTTTTAGCCCAGGCATATTTGCTAAACACATCGATGACAGTCAATAAATATTTTATACCGTCGTTATATTTTTTAAATTTCACCATATAGATAAGATCTGCCTGATAAAGTTCAGCTATGTTTGTTACATGATATTTGTTACGTTGAAATTTCCGTTTAATTTGTTTGTGCAGAGTGTATGCATTTTGTGAGCGCAACCAATTTTGGACCTGCGACTGTGGTTTGTTTGTCGCTTTACACAATTTGCGAACGCTTGAAAAAGATGCATTATGTTTTGGATTATAGTAAACTTCTTCTAAACTATCCATAATCTAATACTGAAGTTTTGACCACTTGATTTTACTTTTAGAATTTTCGAATTCTCGATGCTGCGTAGTAGCTGTTGGCGTTTCAAATAAAAGTTCTGGACTAGATTTCACTTCATCTGGGGATGTGTTATATTTAGTCTTTCTTTTACGGTTCTTTTGCGAATTATTTGATTTCGATGTTCCGACATCTTCAATATTATTCTGAGGCGTCTTGGTACCGCCAACAATAAAAGCGCGACGTTTCCAATTACCAATCACCTCAAACGGCATATTTATGTTACTCATTATTCGAGCAAACGACTGCCAACCCATAGGGTCAGGTATATTTTGTCTATACCTCAATATGTCATAAGTCAAATCTATTATATTCGAACCATGAATCACGACACCATCAACCGAAATTTCTCCTTTCTCATTCCACTTAACACTACTCGCAGCTTTCAGTCTACTTAACAAAAATTCTGCCTTAGACCGAAAAATCTTTGGTACACTAATTAGAATGTCATTTTCGCTAAGAGAGGTTGTCATCGTATCAACAGTGTCTTTATTCTCATCCGTTACAGACAAAGCTATCACATTAACAGCATTGGGATACCTTTGAAGTACTTGACTGTACTTGGTCCATTTGTCGTGATCACTTAATTGTTTGTTCATTAACACAGATTTCATTTCTTCATCTAGTCGCGATAATGTGTCAGGTAATGTAGATTTGATTTTTTGTGTCTGTTCATATACTTCGGGGTCGATTAATACCATCTTCTTAGCGTTCTCCATCTCTTAGTAAATTATTATTAATTATTTGTTGAACAAACTGCTTAGGACTCCAGAGATTATCGGCGTTAACAATAGAGGTAGGAAACCACCACCCTTTTGTATGATAAGCTTCTTTCTCGATCGGAAAGAAACACCAGGTTTGAGTAATCTACGAAGAGTAGTCTTGTGTTTGGATATATTTACTTTTTGCGATTTCGCTAAAGGAACTTTGCCGATTAAAATATTATAAACACATTCGCAGATACTGTG